GGATAGTTTTTTTCTTTGTACACTACCGATTTTGTAATTTTATTATTTCTACCCCAGACCTTTTCCCATTCGGTCATGGTGATGCTATGTCCTATATTCCTACTCCAGGCTATCATGTTCCCTTTTACAGTTTCTTCTTCTAATTCTACTTCTAATAAACAATTATAAAATTTTGTTATATTTTTTTTGCCTGATCCTAATAAAATTTTATCTAATTGCTGGAGTTTATTGTTAATTCCAAATTCTTTCTTGTCTTGTTTCTACTTTGAATTTGAAGATATGCCCAGTGATCAATTTTTAGTCCCCGCTCTTGAAGTTCTTGCCGCGATTTCAAATTTCCTTGTGTATCCAATAGGTCCTTATATTTAATCATTTTAGTGACATCCAGATTATTTGGGAATCATCGCCTCCATTGTTGAAATCCAAATTGGTATTTTTAAATAGTGTTTTCCCGTATTTTCTTCGAATTAGTTAATAATGAGTCTCTGATTAGGTGTCTGTGAAAATATTTCTGGCTAGTTTTCCCTACATCCCATAAAAAAGCATGCCATCCCCTCTGCAAGTCATGGCCTTCTAAGAATAATATTCTCTTATTGGTTAAATTCACCCATTCCTTCAACCATACTAAAGAGGCTGCACTATAAGACAACTCCCAATTTGGAAGTGCCAGCCCTCCCCTGCTCTTCATATCCTGCATTGCCTTTAAATTTATTCTAGGTTATTTCCCTTGCCAGATAAATTTTACGGTTATTTTATTAAGTTCTTCAAAAAAAAATTTGTGTACTTTGATTGGGATCGTCTGAAATATATATAGGAATTTTGGAAGAATATTCATTTTAATAGCAGCAATCCTGCCTATTAATAAAAGTTGCAGCTTGCCCCATGTTTCTAAATCCTTCTTTACCTGTTGCATCAATTTATTATAATTATTTTCCTTAAGTGTCTTACAATATGCTGTCAACTATATTCCTAAGTATTTAACTTTCTTTAGCACTTGTATTCCCATAACTTCTTCTAGTTCTATTTTCTGTTTTTCTGTTAAATTTTTAGTCATTAATTTTGTTTTCTTCCTATTAATTTTAAGTCCTGCTACTGCTCCAAATTGTTCTAATTCATTCATCAATTTTTGTCCTCTTTCTATTGGTTCCTCAATGAAAAAAAATCATATCATCCGCAAATGCCTGCAACTTATATTCTTCTTTCTTAACCTTTAATCCTTTTATGTCTGGGTTCTGTCTAATTCGCATTAGTAATGCTTCTAATGATAATATGAAGAGCAGGGGTGAGAGTGGGCAGCCCTGTCTGACTCCTTTTTCTATTTTTATTGGGCGGGTATATTCCCCGTTTATTATAATATTAGCCTGTTGTGTGTCATAAATGGTTGTTATAATATTTTCAAATTTGGTGCCTAAATTCATATTATAAATTTTTTGGATTAAAAGTTGCCAATTTAAATTATTGAAGGCCTTCTCTGCATCTAAAAACATAACTGAAATTTGTTTTTCTGGGTGGGCTTTGTAAAATTCTAAGACATCTAGTACTATTCTTACATTGTTCCTGATTTGTCTGGTCAGGAGAAATCCATTTTGATCTTCATATATATTCTCATTTAACATTCTTTTTAGTCTACTTGCTATAATAGAAGTGAATATTTTGTAATCAGTATTTAACAGTGAAATCCGCCTATAATTATGTATATATTGGGGATGTTTTATAGATGGCACCTTCCTCCTTCGAGATTAGCTAAGATGCACCCCAATATGAGTCCGAATTGCTGGAAATGCAAAAAAAAAAAAAAAAGAGGGAACTTTTTTCCATATGTGGTGGTCCTGTACAGAAGCTCAAAAATATTGGCAGAAAATTAGAAATTGGCTGGAAGAAATGACAAGAAAACAGATTGAATTCAAACCAGAGTCCTTTCTGTTAGGCATCTTTGATAAACGAATATTAAAAAAAGGGAAATATATGATAATATACATTTTGAAAGTGGCCAGATTGGCTTTTGCACAATGTTGGAAGCAGCCTCATGTTCTATCAGAGGAGATGATCATTCAAAAAATTTCAAGTTGTGCAGAAATGGACAAATTAACCTTGGCATTAAAAAATAAAGACACTTCAATATACTACAACAGCTGGAACTGTTGGTACAAATGGACAGACCAAAGATAGACTTCACACTAAAAGGCAAAAGAGGGTAGGATAGAATCATAGTAGTGATATACAGATATATGTAAGGATTAAGTGTGTATATGGCATAAAATAAGGATAAAAAGGAAGTCTCACAAACTGTTGAAGATGAAAATGTTTTTAATTGTTTTCTATTTTTTTTCTTTCTATTTTCTTCTCCCTTTCTTCTTTTTCTCTCTTTCATTTATGTATGTGTTGTTGGTTTGTTTTAATTGTAAAATCAATAAAAAATATTTTTTAAAAAAGAAAAGTGCTGGATAGTGAGTGGTTAATGAGCATATTTTGCTTCTTCCTCTTGGCAGTGCTTAAATTGGACATTTATCAGGTGCCAACAAAAAATTGCAAAGTTTTTATTTTTGTGGGACAAAGAAGCTCTGAAGCTTTTGTAAATATATGGCTTTGAATAACCTTTGAATATTACCTTGGTACTTGATTGCAGAGTCTGTGGGTGATTTCTTGTTAGGCCAGTGCTTTTATCTCTTAAAATGATCTCTTTTCACATCAATGGATTACAATGAAAGGGATGAATATATAGGGTACATTTAAAATGAGTCCAATTCTCCAGAACTGCTAGAAAATAGTCACGAGAACTATATCAAATAATGTTACGGTCTATCTCCTGAGACAGCTGTAGTACAGTAATTGTTATTATCTAATCAAAGCAAAAATGTCCTTCCTATTTATGGTAGCAAATAATTGCTAATGGTAAAGACTTTATAATGACTATTGAACAACTGGTGGTAATCTCTTTCTCTTACATTGTATCGGAGTTTGGGGAACCTAATAATAAGTGCACATATAAATAACATCATATCATCAGACCATTAACAACGCAGCTTTTGCCTAATTTTTTCCCCAAAGTTTGAATCTAAAACAAAGTTTCAGTCTAGGGTAAAAACACCCTGATTAGAGTCAAATAAAAATTGCTTGTTGTAAGAATTTCCTTAGAACTCTCTGGTAAATTAGTCTCATAGATCTCCACACTAGGTATTGATTTTATAAATTATATGGAAACAGCACCTGAGTATTTCTTTACTTTACTCTTCCTCTGCTAGTTCAGGGTAATGAATATGATTTCCGCCCCACATTCAAATTATTCTTGCAGTGATGCTATGAACTTGATCAGGGGTCTCCAAACTTGGCTGGCTGGAGAATTCTAGGAATTGAAGTCCACAAGCCTTAAAGTTGCCAAATTTGAGGACCTTTGAACAAGATGAATCTGAAAGATAGTGACTGGCTTGAAGTCAGTCAGCAGGTTTTGTGTCTTCCTGGTCTTAGTCCAATGGATTTAATCCCCACACATATTAAGCAAGACACTTTTTACTATTTACTTTCAGAATGCCAACTACTCAGCTAGCAGGCTGTCTTTCAGAAAACATGAAGCTGTAAGCACTTAACAGGGACCATATCACACCTCCCACCTCCGCATCCCTCCCACTGCCCAGTTTTCTATTTCTATTTGCTTTTGAAGTTGACACTCAATGTAGCATGGCTCCTAGAGACCGCTAAGCATCCCTTTTTTATTTTCATTTTTTTCTTCGAAAACCTCTATTGGTGTCCTTGGATATGCTTCATGTCTGTGAGTTATGGTCTCAGTTGGCAGCTGGGTTGATTTATCCCATTCAGCATTGGTTTAACACAATATACACTGAATTCCATTAGCCAGTGTACGTGCTGAAGCTTTGCAGAAGAGGAGGGCAGGCTGATTGATCATAGATGAGAAACCTTCATCTTGCTTCATGCTTCTGACCTCTCCCCTCTGCCCACAGAGGCTAAGGCACCATAACTTCATGGCTATAACTTTTCCTGTTTTAATCAATTGAACAGTGACTGTGAGCATTCATATATTCAGATGTCAGGTAAACCAGACTATGAGCCAACTGTGGGAAATTGGTTAGATCCTGTTTCTTATTGTTCAGCTGAACAGCATCTAACCAATACCTCTTGCAATATTCTTTGCATTTTGAAGTTGATAGTGATGAGGACAAGTGCTGGGCGGCCTAAGTTTTTTTCTAATGATTCGGAGAGCAAAAACTGTGGTGGTAAACAAATTCCTTCCCTCCCCTTCCGGTTAATCATTCTCTCTTGCTGACACTCAGCTATATGAGTTCATAGTAGAAATATTGACTCACTCCTGAAGTCTACAACAAAACATTCTGGGGTATTTATTGTCTCTGTAATTGTGGATTCTCTCTGCAGTGCTTTTTGTCAGCAGCTTCTGAGCAAGGAAGGCAGTTGCGAAGCAGTAGTAGAAAAGATTTTAGAGTAAGCAAGTGTTTGACATTCTCCTTTTATATGAAAATCTCAGTGCCAATTTTCCAGGACCCATAATCTTGCTCATGCAATATAAGAGTCACATCAGTTTTGTGTTCCTTAGTTGTTGCTGATAGAGGAAAGAATACCTGGGAAGGGAAGAGGAACTGAGAACAAAAGAAGATCAGCAATTAAAAAGTTTTGATCATTCCAACAATTGGAGGTGATAAAATGTGTAAAAAGCCTCAATATCTTTTTTTTCCCCTATCACAGCAACATAAAAGCAATTTTATTAAAAAGAGAGAGTAAAATTGCTTTGCATGGCATAGTTCATTGAGTTGGCTTTTAATGTTTAGATTCTTTTTGCTGCCTGAAGAACCCTTTCCATTCACATTCACTTCCTTTGTCTTTATTCATCTCCAGGAACCAGCTCTTTTTAAATCTCTTCCGAGAGAATTTTTAGCAAGCCAACTTCGGAGTTCTTTCAGTACTAAACAGTTTTAACGACAATGGATTCTGCAGAAGGCTTTGTCTTTATCTTGTAGGTCTGTCTTTTATTCCTCCTTTCTTTGTGTGGATAGTATTCCTTGTCTGGAAAAAAAGAGAGAGGAAAAAAAAAAGTCTATAGGAACATTATTCTTACATGGTTAAAAGATTGCGATATTTTAGATGATTTCTGGATATCCTGCAATCAAGCATGACGTGTTCTCAGCCTTTGAGAATGAGGCACGATTGAACGGAAGAAAAAAATTGTATTATTATGTACTGTTTATTATTCATTGTTTGGCCATTTTAACTTTTGCAGACAATTTTAAATTGCTGTCTTTGGAGCATAATAGATCATTCATTCATTCATTCATTCATTCATTCATTCATTCATTCCATGAGTAGGTGGAACTGACAGAAAATGACTGGCTTGAAGTCATTCGTTGAGTTTTATGACTGACAATGGACTGAATTTGGGCCTGGTCCAATAACTAATAAGTGCATCATAGAATACTTAAAGGATCCTGCTTATAGCCCAGTTGAGAACTACTTCAGGACTTAGCTTATTCTGGGGCCTTAAAGAAGAGTAAAAATTATTTACTTTCCATTCCTCCTACTCTTGCTACAGGAACTTGGGAGAAAAAAAAAATCTGACATTTCAGTGTATCTACTTGAACAATATTGATGTCTTGTATTTAAAATTACTTCAAAGTAGGTTATTCATGACAAAATAATCACAAGAGATAATAATGTGTTCATGTGTACTGATCAGAGGTGGTATTTAGCTACCAGTAGTGGAAATTTTGAGTAGTTCAGAGAACCGGCAAATACTACCTCTGACTGGCCCTCTCCCCATCTATTCTCTTCCTCCAGAGACCCATCTGATTGGCTGGGTCTTCTTTTGTTGCCCTGCATAGGAGAACAGAGCTGGAAAGCAGGTTAGTGGGGTGGGGAGGAAATGGAGATTTTGCATTATCCTTCCCCTGCCAAGCCCACCAAACCACACCCACTAATTCACACCACGCCCACCAAGCCACGCCCACAGAACCAGTAGTAAAAAATTTTGAATACCACCACTGGTACTGGTACTTCTGTAACTGGGGAAATCAGGCTAAGTGTGGATAAGTCAACATTATCTTTCATGGTGTGATTAAATTCTCGATGAACCAACACAAAAGTTTCCTTTTATTCAAACCTGACATTTTGTTCAATTTCAAGTTTATTTTCCAGTGGTGGGCATCTTAAATTTACCTTCTGCTAATCTCACAGCCCTAAGTAATGCCAAATTCAAATTCAATGGCTGATCATTAAATAATAGCAACAAAATCTTCAAATTCAATTGTGAAATCAATTGAATAGTCATGTTAAGTTTCACTTTGACTTAATTCATCTATAAAAGCTAAAGCAAGCAAGAAAAAGCATACAATCAGGGCTTTTCAAATTCCTTCAAAGCTCTTTAGCAACATAAATTATACAAGATGCTTATATATCGTTTCCCCTATGTTGCACAGTAATTAGTGTATTCTTTTCTCTGTGTGTATTTTCATTTTGAATGGCAGTAGAATGGCAGTATTCTGAGTAGTTTTTAAACTGTCTCTCCCATAAGGATTTGTTGAGGAATTGTTTAATGTAATGCAATCTTTTTCTCTGCAGTTCGTGGCCTGACCTGATCAGTTTTCAATCTTACTTTTGCCAGCTTCTCCCTCCGTATCTCATTCTGTTCAATTCTCAGAAAGATAGCTTGTTGATGGACAAATAGATGAGTAAGTCTGAGCAGCTTAATGTATTTTTTAAAAATCTTTCTATGAGATTCAAAAGATGAAAGCACACAGAGAAAACCACACACACACAGATGCACACAGAGCAAAAACAGGTTCCATATTCCCTTTATTTTGTTGTAATCTTATTAATAACCTATGTGGTCCTTGTCATACAAAGATTAATTAAGAAAATGGTGCTCCCTGATCACTGAAGTATTTCCCAGCTTTTTCTATACTGTATACTGTGCAATTCTAGGAGTTAATGCCACTGAATTCAATCATTCTTACTTCTAAAAGAATTATTTATTGGCCAAGTATAATTAGAATTTGTCCCCTGTGCAAAAGCTCTCAGTGCACATACAAAAATAGTGATAGATCATTATCACAGTCATTGTGAAAATACATTCATCATAAAACATTAGATATAACACTTAGTGATAGTCATGGATACTAGATAAGCAATCAGCATAAATCATACTAAAGGTACTAAGGTAGCACTATAAATCGTAAGATGCAAGCAACTAAGTTACAGTCATAAGAAGATAAGGAGAAATAGGTAATAGGGAACATGAGAATAATGATGGTAATACTGCCTTTCTAGATAGTTTGACAGTGTTGTGGGAATTAGTTGTTTAGCAGAATGATGCCATGCAGGGAAAAACTGTCCTTGTGTCTAGTTGTTCTAACATGCAGTGTCCTATAGCATTGTTTTGAAGGTAGAAGTTGAAACAGTTTATGTCCAGGATTTGAGGGTTCTATAAATATTTTCACAGCCTCTTTTTGTATACAGGTCCTCAATGGAAGGTAGATTGGTAGTAATTGTTTTTTCTGCAGTCCTAATTATCCTCTGAAGTCTGTGTCTGTCTTGTTGGGTTGCAGAACTAAACCAGACAGTTATAGAGGTGTAGATGACAGACTCAATAATTCCTCTGTAGAACTGTATCAGCAGCTCCTTGGGCAGTTTGAGCTTTCTGAGTTGGTGCAGGAAGAACATTCTTCGTTGTGCTTTAAGAAAATGCCTAATATCAAACTGACTAATTCTTTCCAATTGAAAAGATAAACAATGTTTCCTGAAAATTGTGGGAGTTGAAATCCAACACCTCAAGGAGATCTTACACTGGGGATATGCACAGAAAAAGCGATAGTGAACATAATTCACAGCTTCTTGTTTGTGCTGCAAAAAAAAAAAAAAACCTACAGATTTAATTGATTTCACATCTTCATATTAAATATAAAGTGGGCTGCATTTTGACTTCACAAACATATCTTCCTTCCTAGCTTCAAACGAAAAAGAGAAGTTTTTTTTTTTTTAATGCTGTGTTGCTAAAACATTAATCTGATTAACACAATGGGTGGCTGAATGAATGAATGAAGTGCTGAAGTCAGCCATAAAAATGTGGAACATATGTCAAGAAAAAGCTGGACACATTTATGGGATAACTAAGATAAATCTAAGTCTAATGACATAACGTAAGTTACTGAAGGCAAGCCTTTATCTGCCAGATGGTTGCCATTACCGAACAGATCTGGACCCCAAATATTATTTTTCAATGAATTGGAAAATTGAGAATATTTCACATTGTTTGAATAAAGTGTTTGCCATTTACCACTCAAACTTGTTTTCAACAGTGATGATCTCATTCCAAGGTAACAGCCCATTGTATTGAAAATATCAGATCTTCCACAATGAACTATTGTTAGGTATGTTATGGTATGTTTCATTTGATTGTTTAGCAGCAACCATGACTGTGGAGTCTCATCTTTATGAGTTGAATTTGCACAATGTCTCACATGTAAAATGTATTGCTAATTACAATGCTGGATCACAGTGGCTCAGGGGCTAAGACGCTGAGCTTGTCGATCAAAAAGGTTGGCAGTTTGACGGTTCGAATCCCTAGTACCACGTAACGGACTGAGCTCCCGTTACTTGTCCCAGCTTCTGCCAACCTAGAAGTTTGAAAGCATGTAAAAATGCACGTAGAAAAATAGGGGCCACTTCGGTGGGAAGGTAACAGTGTTCCGTGAGTCTTCTAAGTTTAGTCATGCCGGCTACATGACCATGGAAACATCTTCAGACAGCGCTGGCTCTTTGGCTTTGTAATGGAGATGAGCATCGCCCTAGAGCTGGAAACAACGAGCATGTATGTGCGAGGGGAACGTATACCAGCTTGCCTCATCTGTTTGCCAGCCTGCAGTCAATGTGTTCCACTGTGATCTGTCTTTAGTGTGATTTTCTGATCTTTGAATGTGGACTATAAGATATTCTGGGATTCCCATTTTTCTTAAGCCCGTTTTATAACTTGTCATAATTGACACTGTCAAAGGATTTTCATATTGATGCCTTTTAAGATTTTTTGATAAGCTTTATGTTTTCCATGTTTGTTCCCAACATGTCTTTGCCAATGCTGTTGTATTACTGCTTTTTATCCTTGTTAATCTAACAGCTCTCTTAAGTTCTTTGTTAAGCTCTTTCCTGTCCTTCTTTCCTTTGGCTTGTCTTCTTTTTCTGGCAGCTTTCGCTATTTGTCCTAGTATCCATTGTCCTTTCTTCTGTATCTTGTTTTTTGCAATATATTTTCACTTTCTACTTAACAAATTTTATTTCATTCCACATCCTTTTTTCTTTATTTAAGAATTCAATACTTCTCAGCAATTCTTGTTGTTTTCTTGAAAATGATGGGTAAATGGTAAATATCATATTGTAGAAATTGGTTAGCTTTATTTTCCCACTTTGGCTTAATTTTGAAGGTACATGGTGGGTTTGTGACCATTCTTTTGCAATTGTAACTGAGCTTTTGCATCTTATTATACCAACAATATAGCCAATTATAGTCATAATTCTGGTTGTTTGAGGACTCCCTGGGTATTAGAGAACCTGGTAGGACAATCGTACTTAGCGGACTTTGACAGCATTTTTTTTTCATTCCATTACTATGCATTTGGATCATTGCAATCTGCTATTCACGGCGTTGCCTCTGAAGACTACTTGGAAACTTCATTTGGTCCACAATGCAGCAGCCTGATGATTAGCTAGGAATATATCTGATCTGGGCCTTATGCTGGTTTCCAATTTGTTTCCAGATGCAATTCAATGTGTTGATCATCAATTATTAAGTCCTGGGTGGTTTGGCATCAAGATTTCCTCTTTCAACTGAAATCAACCCATTTAATTTGTATGCCCCATGAGAAACTTATGGTGATTTTCCATCCTACAAGGTTTTTTCAATATTACCACCTACACTGTGGGGAAGCTTTTATGTAGAAGTTATATTGGCTCCAGCTGTAGTAATGTTTAGAATGGAATGTTCCTACTACAGCAATATTTTAAAGTCAGAATTATAGTGT